GAAAACACAACAAAGAAAAATAGTGGGGGTGAGCATAACAAACAAGCTCACCATTATCGCACAATTATCCCGTATAATTATTTTAAAAGCAGAGTAATCATAGTATACAGTATCAGTATCGGTATGCATAGAATTCATAGCCTAAACCCCCTACCCGGCCCTATCGCAAACCTCCTATGTACATACAACAACCTTCCGGATACAACGGCATGGCTGTAACTGGAAACCTTCCCACCCCGGGATACAACGGTACATAGGATACTTTCCAGGAGATAGTGAAGTTGAATTACCCCTCCAATCTACACGGATACGAGTATTCAGAAAAACCCCTCCGCTCTACACGGATTCGGGCGTCCACCTCCCGGATGCAACGGGCAGGTGACTTCCACTGCTTTCGCATTCATCAAAGGCACTATCGTTCGGGACACTTAGACTAGAGTTCTCATGCATACAATAATTTTCAAAAGAAACATTACACGAAATAATAAGTGCGATAAATATGGAATACATCATAAATGTACCCACCTGATTGCAGCAACAGATCAAATCACGGTTCTCGAAAGTAAGACGAGGTCAACACCTCTAGACACCTACATAAGTCCAGATACTAAAGTCATCACTTTAATCTAGACCTAAGTAGAAAATTCACAAATTGACTTAGCCGAACTCGATTCGACCAAGTGGTTCGTGAAGTTCGGTGGATATGGAAACTCTAGGACTTAGACTCGATCAAACCACATATTCAAGTTCACATAATCGCAAACGAAAGACAACCAAACGAGTCACACGTAGACACATAACAAATTTGGTCCACAACACTTAACCGAAAATCACACTATAAAACAATTTCCAAAATTCACACTTGAAATAGAAGGTATATCAAACCTATGAGTTAGGCTCTGAAAATTTTACATAAAATTCACCTCCCAAAAGTTAGTAAAAAAACCAAGTTTCAGCCTCAAACTCATTAAACCCAATTTTATAAAATTTACACCAGTTTTTCAACAAAAACGAGCTTAAATTAGAAACATCTGATAATGAACGATTCAGGCCATGTAATTTTTATCTAAAATACTTCAGCATGTGAACAGCAACACTTAAAAATATCAGCCTTCGAAACTCAACATGTGAATTTATAATATTAAAACAACATTCAGCCAATTATCAAATTTCTATCAGAACTGATCCTAAACGAAATCCAAAAATTTAAAACTTTTTACAGCATGCTAAACATCACAAAATCAGCACTTCAACCAAACTTCAGAATTTTTCAGCTTCGAACAAATTTATCACAATAAAACAAATTTGGGCAGAAACACCAATTAAATTATAAAACCAATCAAACCTAGTCCAAAAATTCTAAAACATTTATACAACACATAAATATACCAGAGACATATCATACTCGAAAATCAGTCAAATTAGAGCACCACAAAATTATTTATGCATTTTACAAGAAACTGAACAGAAATAAAATTAATTTTTAAAAATAGCTCCGGACCTTCAAAAATCACGGAAAGTTTACACAAGTTACAAATTCATCAAAAACAGCTGCACCTAAAATTTCAAGGTAATCGGACCAGTATTCAATTTACGGTGAATTTTATATTCGAAACAGCAATTACAATCTTCGAAAAATCATAACTACAAATTCACACGTCCTATCGACAAAAGGTCAACGCCATTGTGTTCGTAAAAATCCTAAGTTCGTAAATCCACAGCAACTAATCACTTATAACCAGTTCTCGTTCGATTCGCACGAATCGACGAGTTTCACATAAAATCACGAATATATATTGTAATGCCCCAAACTCGTGTCATTCATTTTATGTATATTTAGTATTTTTCATGATTAATTAATGAATGTTAATGTTAATGTTATTTTATTTTATTGTTGAGCTCGATTTTTATGTATTGATCAAGTGAGTGTCCACACTCATTAATCATAAATATTGATAATTGGAAAAATTATTTAGATGTCCTCATCTGTTTAATTTTCCTAAGTATTAAATATTCATAATATTAATATAATTTTACTATATTAATGGGATAGATTAATTAATTAATTAAAACCTTAGCAGTAATTAGCAGAAGTATTAATCTAAGATTTTGAGCATCAAAAATCGGCCCTAAGGAGAGAAAAAAACGTGAGAAGTGAGAAAAGATAAGAGAGAAAAATCTTGTCTTGATCACCAAGCCAAAAAGAATCTCACACACATGGTAAACCCTCTTTTTCACGAGTCATTCTTTTTTTCTTTTTCCCGAGCACGGTAAACCTTCTTTTCGATTCTTGGGCTGAATTTAATGTTCATTATATTAATAAAGCATGATAAGATATGTAAATTAACAAGGGAAGTATATAAGATTTAATGATTTTCTTTTATATTTAATGAAAGACCAAGTTGGATCTTGGACAATTTGATATTTTTTAAAAGATGTTTAATGTCTAAGAAGTTAATAATAAGGCTTGCTTAATGAAGATTATGTGCCATGTTGAATTGAATGATTATTGATGATGATTTATAGAAGTTATGCATGAAATTTCTGTTTTCGTGGCTTCTGTTGACGTTTTTGGTGACAAAGAACTCGTTTCTTGGGAATGTGTTATTCAGACGATATGTGGAAAATTTTGTTAGGTTTCAGTAGGCTTTAGAATCTTTGGAATCAGAGTTCATATGGATTTTATATAAGTTTTACAAATCAGTTGTGTGTCCAGTTTTTATGAAGTCAGGACTGAGAATATACCTTTAATGTATGACCCACTTTGATGTGTCAAACGTACTCAAATGTGAAAATGGTCTTCAGGAGATATGTAGCCATATGTGTTTAGTTTCTGTAATTTTTGGAATTTCATGATTTTATAGCCTATAGCTCGAGATACATGAGAATTACTGAGGTTCTGTATGTAATATAAGTTAATTTCTGGCAGTTTTTATGAACTGAATGTTTTAAAATTAAAATCGATGATAATATCATTATTTTTCAATGTGGTCTTCAGCAACGTTGTAGATAATTAAGTTGGCTACCTTGTGGTTTTTGAATCTTATGAAAAGCATGTCTGTAGCTTCAGTTATCTTGCAATTACTGAAGTCCTGTCAGCTGTTTTATTTCAATTGTTGACTGCGGCTATGAATTAGATGTTTGCTATATTATGTGCATTTAAATGACCTTATATGTTTGAGTTGTCATCATGAAAGTTGTAGAGGCATGAGTTAGGGATAATTTTCAATTGAAATAATCATGATATGACCTATGTACTGAAAGTTACATGCATTCTAAGTTCATCGCCCATGCTGAAAGTTGTATAAGTTCATGTTTGGAATTCCAAATTGATTATTATTGTTTAAATACATGTTTATGTGGCATAACGGATCCATGTCATGTTATTTGAAGTGTATATGACCCTTCCATTCCCTATGTGATAAAAGTTAAGCAAGTTAAGTTATCAACCAATCGAAAAGACTTAAACATAAACATTTTCAAAGTATGCGAGCAAGGCGAAGCCGAGCGAGCTAGTTTTCAAAGTTCATGTATAAGTATGAGTTTAAGTTAAGCCATGATAAGATTCTAAGACATGTCCCAATGAATTGTAGTCAACGAGGAGTTGAGCCCTCGAGTTCTTTCAAGTTCAAGCCTTTAAGTCGAGCATTCCGAAAAAGGTGGGGGAAGTTCTACGTTATTTATCCTTTTTAATTATCTATGTTTTGAATGAAGTTAAGTAGCTTGCATAGTACCCATGTTTATACAATGTTCCAACATTCGAGCAAGTCGTTTGTTGCAGTACCAAGGTCCACGGGCTATAACTCTAGAGGGTGGCTAGGTACTAGGGTTAGAGTATGTAAGTGCGTGCATGTAACCTTCGTTGGTGCACACTTCGAACGGTTGTCCCCGTCGATAAGACTGTACGGAGCCATGATGAGGGCTGTCTTCCTTCAACCCCACGAGTGGTACTCTCGTCAAGCCTAGTTGGCCGTGCCGCGAGAGGCAATGTTCTCCCACCACCATAAAGTGGTACAAGGAGTTTGGCGAGAAAGTCTTTCGACTTGTGGGCAACCACTCGTCGGGAGCTCATGATTATGTTGAGTATACCTAATGATTTCATGCATGATAGTTGGTTAGGATGGTAACTTAGAATAGAAGGATCTCTCACTGAGTAAGTGGAAATGCTCACACCCTATTTGTTTTCCACACCCAGGTATATGGCGAGCTGGCATTGGAGCGATGGCGAGGGTGGTCACATGGTCATAGGATTATAATATGATTTGAGTTTCTACGCTTCCGCAATTAGATATGTTTTTATGGAATATTCATGTTTAAAGCAAAGTGTATGTCATCGATATGCAAAGTTCAATGTTAAGCCAAGGTCACATATAGGCCCTCAAGGCATTGCCATGGAAAGTTTATCTTTTATGTCTAATGTTTTCAAAGTAAGACAAAGTCATGAGTTGTTCACGAAATGTAAGTTAAGTTTCAAATGCAAGTAAGTTTATTTTAGTAACGCCCTAAGTTTAAGTAAAGATTTCCAAGTATTGTTTCAAAGAAAAATTTATTCTGAATTTTCAATTGATTTCAACGTACGAAAAGTAGGGCGTTACATATATACAAAACGAAAAATTCAAACACGTATATAATAATTTAACGAACACGTAAAGCACAACCGATCACAACATTATTCACGTAAAATCTAAACGAGAAGTCGAGACTCGATACCGTTCTCGGGAAACGAGCGAGAAAGGTCGAACGAGAGAAGACGGCTCGACGGGGCTCAACGGCTTCACGCGGCTCGCTGAGGAGAGAGCTGCGGTGGTCCTTCTCGATTGTGGGGTTGCTGCGATGGCCGAGGCGTCCCGTCGGAAGTGCTGCTGCGGAGGAGGAGACTCGCCGGAATATCTCACGAATAGGGATGCTGTGATGGCGGAGTGCTCGCCGGAAAGGGGAAGCGACTTGGTACTCGTCTGCGACTGAGGAGGGGAGTTCGCGAGCAAGAAGGCAAGACTGGTTCACGGCGAGGACGGGCAGCGCGCAGAGGACTCGCGAGCAGGCGGTGAGGTTGGCCGCCGGAAGTTGTAGCGACGGCGAGTTGTAGCAAGGCCGATGGCCGCCGGGTCTTTGCACAAAGAAGCAGGTTCGTGGTGAGGCTCGCTGACAGATTCAGTGGCTGGTCGCGGCGGAGAAGCCTGCGCGCAGTGGTGGGTCACCGGAAGGGACTGCAGCGAGACGGAAATCGCAGAGGAGGACTCGCCGGAATTTCGTGGTCGCGGACAGGGAATAGGGCGACGAGGAGGATGACGGGATGAAGGTCACGTTTGCGAGAGAGGTGAGATCGGATTCGCGAGAGAGAAATTGCGCGATCGAGAGAGAGAAATCTCAAGCTGCGGGGCGAGAAAATTCTGACGAGAGGGACGATAGATACAAGGTGCATATATATACACACATTAGAATTAGGTTGACTTTTCTTGTCCCACAAGACTAATAAAAATCCAACACGCACGAATTTGAGAGAGAGACCGGATCTTGGGCGGGTCGGTTCGAGCTGGGGCGGTTTAACGGATTTGGCTCGCGGGCCGGTTTCGCCAAAATAATTCGGCTCTCGGGTTCGATTTAATCGCACTATTAATTAAATAAAATAAAATCATTTATTTAATACATATATTACTTTAAAATAATAATAATATTAATTATCAATATATACAATTAGCAATTAATTTACAATTAGACATATAATATATAGACATTTAATTAGGCAAGCAATTACATTAATAATATCACAATAATAATAATAATAATAATAATAATAATAATAGTAATAATCAATTATAATAATAAATATTTTCAATTAATCCACAAATAAATGGGGCATTACAGTCTACCCTCCTTAAACGATTTCTGTCCCCGGAAATAAAAGAAAAGTCATTCTGACAGAACAACTGACACAAGAGAGAAGCTCAAGCCACTACAGTCGGATACTCCGTCCGAATCTCCCCACTCTACCAAGTCACACCGCACTAGCCACGGCTACCCCGCCGGACTTTGACGAGTACCTCTCCCGGACTCTTCCTGATGGATTCGTCAATCCAGTAGGTCACCGGTACCTCATCAAAGGTAAGGTTCTGCCCACATGCAGCTCGTCAAAGTTCGCCACGTGCCCAGAGTCACGCACATGTCCCCTCTCCACGAGGCACAGAACAGGTCGTGCACTCTCGCAAGCTCCGGTGATGGGGTCAACCGTCAGGCTAAGTCGCCAACTCGGTCGAGAATCCAAAAGGACCAACAAATGTGGCCGATACTCTCTCTCTTCCCAGAATTTGAGGCGTACAACGCCTCTTTCCATACTCAGAACCTCGTACGATACCATCAAGATCGTCGCTTATTAGCCATCGCTATCAACGCACTTTCCCTTGGTAAGAAATCTCACACGACATACCTATCGAGTACACCAGACTCCAGCCAGTCTCTCAGGGTCTCGAAAGCGTGTCCTAAACGCATAACTATCTGGATCTCTACGCGGTGCCAAGTTCAGTCTCGTGCCCGGGTCACGCTGACGACTTGCCCACGATTTCAATGTGAATCCGTGCGTCCGTATCAGACGGCCCACCGCGGAATCCCATACAAATGGCTAACAAACATCAAAAACACCATTCTCAAAATTGATACTTTCAGAACACACGGTTCTGCTCGATATCGTTGACAAAGCCTCATTCCTTGCCGACACGAGTGGCAACTCGTATGCGGTTTAGGAAGTATCGACTAGACATTCGAAAACAACTTCTATCGTAGAAACTGACTCTGAAATAGGGATGCTCGACGATCCCATTATAACGATCTAAAAAGACATGGCCAGTCTGGGGTTTAATGCACTGTCACCCGAGAGATGTCATACACACTGGCGCTGCATAAGCGGGGCGCTGGGACGTGTGCGTACATCTGTTCGGAGAACAGCTGCAAGGTCAAGGTTTCGGCCACACACTGGCTTGGGGAGCTCCTGCGTTCGGTGATGGTCGCTGCAGCTCTCGTGCGAGTCAACGATCGGCCCTGCAGTGCCTCATCTCTCAGCACGGGCTCGCATGCTCAACCACCACTTCGCGTGACTACACCCAGTCAGTGTCGGTGTTCGGTTCGAGGTACAGAAAATAATTACTCTAATTCAAGGTTCGTACTATCTGAGGTAGCCCGGAAGGAAAGGTTTTCAAAAAACTGACAAACATTAGGATATAACAACGACATCATCCCCCTGCATTTAGGTATCGACAAACTCGGATGGTTCAGGGCTTCCAAATCATCACATCCTTTCCCGAACCATACAACTTCAAGCGGATAACATATATTAGAGTTATGGAGGAATCTTCTAAGGAAGATGAGTATTGGCATCCTCAGCTAGGAATCATCCCAACTCAACTGCCATTGCCGAATAATGAAGATGATCAACTCGCATGACTCTTCCGACTAACAGTGTCGGCCGTCACGTCAGCTCTATCTCCGGTAGCTAATTGTGCCGGCAGTCCTAAACGAGCTCAATTTCTACGCTGCTAAGATTTTCACGTTTTTGAATCTCATCACGAAGCCTCCTTGGTTGATTGGTCTCGATCGCGTCTCGAATATAGGTCATCAACGATAAAAATAAAACACGACAGACCGATCTGGGTATGAATGGAGTACCAGGCCGAATGACATCACCAAATAAAATCGAAGGGACGATTTCAGACAAGCGGAAAAACGAAACTGCTCGTCTTAATCAATATATCAGGTTGTAAGTCTTGAAGTGGAAACTCCAACGAATAAAAAAAAACAAGAGTTTCCAAAGGATTGCAAAAAGTCAAAGAAATACAAATGATCACTCTCGAAACTCCGAAGGGAAAAAGAACGAGAGTTTTCAAAGATTAACTATGAACGCAATTCGAAAACAAAGACGGCTCTGCACCGCACGATGTGCTTACATCTGGCTCGACTACCCTCCTTAAAAGATTCTCCTATAGCAAACATCCCTAGAAAGGTGTCGAGGCTCCTCCCGATCAAGTATGCGACGATTCTCACGTACGCCACTTCGGTTCAAAGTTAAAATAGATCACGAAAGAAAAATTGATCGCCGTCTATCTCGAAGCTAAGGTATTCTCAAGTTGACCTTCGCATCGACTTAGCGAAGTTACTGCACACGGTTCGATATCAGATAAGAATCAATAGAAACTGAAATTCGATGCTCAACTCCATCCCAAAATTCTACGCAAGGAAAAGAAAATCAAGTGAATTTGTCATGGAACGAAAATCAAATAATAAAAATGGGTCACGAAATACAATTCAAACTTGACTACTAAGCGAAAGGTAGAAATCAAGGACAAAGGAATAGCACTCGGGTAGCAAAGGCGTTAACGGTAGGTTAAAGGGTTAAAAATGGATCAAGCTCGCACATTAATATTTGCTGCAAATTTCCAGAAATCTGATTGCACGAAGTTCGTATCTTAAACGCATCCCCTGAATGAATCTTGCGCCGTCTGAATCCTAAGGGACAAAACTACAACTCATATGAAGACATCGAGGTTCCCAGATTACAAGAAGCATGCCAAAAACAGCAAAAAGGAAAGACTCAAACTTTTGCGATTATACTAAAACTGACCACGCAATGATCGGATCGGCGTAATTCTCGATACAAAAAAAAAAAGAAAAATGATACCCACTCGATTCCTTTCCTCATGTAAGGCAACAGGCTGATCTACAATTTACAAGAAGACTTAAAAAATAAACGACGATGTTTCAGGGTTTAAAAACAGCCATGGAAACAGATCACCCACAAAATCGTAAAATTAGAAAAACTGGACGCGCACTCGCAAAACTTTGGCCACATCATCCAACACGAAATTGATAATGACTTGGTTCTTGCTCAAGATGAAACATAAGAGATAGAACTTTAACTCATCAGAAGAGTTCAAACCCTATCGATCGAGTTTAAAGGGTCAAATCAGCGACCAAATAGTTATCAATGAAAGGTTTTCAAAAAGAGGGTTTCCAAACCCAACTCTTAAAAAGTACGACAATCACGGAACGAAGGTTCGGATGACATGTCAAGGCTCGAATTTATTCGATAACAACTCAGCCATAAATAACAAAAGAAGAGGGTATCAATAACTAAACAACAGAGTTCTAATACCCACGAAGAATTTCACAAGACAAACTAACGAGAAATGAACGGATAATAACGAACAAATTATAACAAGGGAAAAATCAACCATTAAACCGATTCCCACGAATCTACACGCACAAGTGGTCGGATCATCGACATGAAACCGACACTTAGACTCCACTCCCGGTTCCCATTGACCGGGTTCTACACACGTCTAATAGTTCTAGCCACAATAGTCACAGACTTCCGAATAATCCATACACCCGGGACTCCTTCGGTTGTCTGTTCCCTTTACTTAAGTCTTCTCTTCGAGATGGCTTACGAATGCTTCTCACTCGATGGCACTAAACAGAAACTCATAACGAGAACACTGCTATAGACCGAACTTAACTCGATAACACCAAACCAAAAACTCACAACAAAAATCTCTAAAGTCGGCACTTAACTCTATACCATAGAGTCCAAGTCCGTATAAACGGAGGGTAAATTCCTAAGCCCCAATAAAAGAACAAACCATAATCACGATATCGGCAATAATCAAAACAATAAAACTCATACCTTGAGTTGGGGCGGCGAGACGAAAGCGAGTGGTCGAAGTGGTCATTAAGTACACAAAAAAAAAGAGACAGTCTACAAAAACGCAGACTGGCTCTGATACCAAACTGTAACGCCCTATTTTATTTTAAAGAATTTACCGAACTTATTTAATAAAAAGAAGAGTTATATTTTTTTTAAAAAAATCAAAAGTAAAACATTTATCGAGGAACGGGCGCTACTTACTAACCACAACAAATAAACACACCCAAACGACCAATCCATGAACCTACACATGCTCGAGCTATAAAAATAACGATCTCATAATTCATGAATCTCAAAATCATTCCCAAACGTCTAGCATGAATCAAGGTTCAAACGAAATTCAACATAGTTCGAAAATGAAGAAATAAATAATCCATAGTACGATATCAAAGGAATAAATAACAAGTTCATGCAGAAGCATAAGATATCATCACATATTGACCACCATCTCGCTCGTCCTACGCCACCGCCTCTAGCTCGTCTCAACCTGGATCAAAGGAAGAGAAAACACAACAA